GCCCGACGCCGCCGCCGCGGAGAGAACCGCCGAGGCGGCCACCCCCAAGCTCAGCGACGGTAACGGCGGCACCGGGAGGAGGGGTGGGGGGGGGGGTCCCCACTCTTTGCTTTTCCCCCTAACCCCCCCCCCGTCGGAGGGAGCGGGCGATGGCCGCGCACCGGGAGAAACGGACCCGCGGTCGCGGGTGGAAAGGGCTCGGCAGCTCTAGGCGTTAATGAGCGGCTTTCCATCTTTTCCCAATTATGGGAAATATGCGGCCGGCCTCGAAGTTTAGATTAAAATATTTAGACAAGCGTTTAAGTTGCTCGCAGCGCAGTCTGTTCCCGGTTAGCATCCCGCGGGAAGCCAACGAAAACCCGCACGCGCGGGACCGTCCGTTCTCCCGCGGGTCTCGGCTGCGCGGACACGCGTGGGGCCGGGGCCGCCTCGCCGCCGCTCGTCCCCGGTTCCGCGGATCGCCGGGCGGCTTTATCCTCAGCCATCCCCCGCGGTTATTCCGCGGGTTTTCTGCGGCGGGGCTACGTTGGCGGCGCCGCTACCGGCAGCTCCGCGCCCGGCGGAGCGGCAGCGCGGGGGTTTGCGCGCCCACCGGTGGGGCAGGGACCCCGTCCCCGTCGCTGCGCGGGGACCCGCGGATCGCTGCTGCGCGTTTTGTTCGGATAAGCGTTTTTTTGGCGGAGCGCGGTGCGGCCGGGAGCATCCCCGGAAAAGGGCTAATTAACAAATTTTTTTTGCTAATAAGCGGGGCGTGGGGGGCAAGCCGGCAGCCGGGGTAGAAAATTAAACAACGGAGAGCAAAGCCCCGGGAGAGAGCGCGCTGGGGCGCGGAGGGGCCGCGGCGACCTGCGGAGCGCACCGGGGACCTGTTGCTGCGCTTCCCCCTCCCCGGGGGCGGGCAGCGGGGCTACGGACACCCCCCCTTCCCCCCGCCGCGGTGGGCTCGGTGTGGACCCTCCGGGCTGCGGGAGGCGGCCCGGCCTCCTCCGGTTACCAAAGCCGAGCGGCGGGGCCCGGAAAGGCAGCGGCCGAGGCGGGCCTAGCGCTGCCACAGCCCCCGGGGGTAGGAAGGGGGGGGGTCCTCCCCGGTTCCCCCCCCCTCCCCCGGTTTCCTCGCTGGCAGCCCGGGCACCCCGCGGTTCCCCCGTCCCCGGTCTGACCGCCTGTGTCGTGCCCAGTGTCCCCAGAGCTGAAGGAGCGCAAGGAGGATGCGAAAGCGATGGAAGACGAAGGGCAGACGAAAATCAAGCAGAGGAGGAGCCGGACGAATTTCACCCTGGAGCAGCTGAACGAACTGGAAAGGCTTTTCGACGAGACCCACTACCCGGACGCCTTCATGCGGGAAGAGCTGAGCCAGAGGCTGGGGCTCTCCGAGGCCAGGGTGCAGGTAGCCAAGCCGTGCGTGGGTGCCCGGGTGCGTGGGTGTGGGTGGCGGGGGGCCCCGCCGCTCCCGACACAAGCTGTCAGAGAGAGGAGGATGGGGAGGGGGGTGAGGGGGTCCCAGCGCCGAATCCTACCCGGCAAATCTCTAAAATCGCCTCCCCCGGGCTTTCCGGGGATGTGACTCCCGGCGGGTCCCCTCGCTTTGCTGCTTTTTTTTTGCTGCGTTTATTTTATCTCTGCCTCGGTGAGGGCTACGGCGGGCTGCTCACCGGGCTGACGTACCAATTAACTTTATAGATGCAGGGACCATAAACTAAATTAGGAACCGCTAAGTGCCAAAAAAAAGAAAAAAAGGCAAAGAAAAAAATAATTACAGTCTGTTTCCCTTCGTAGTTCTTAAATCTTGAGGGAAGCGGCAGGGAAACCGAGCGAAGGGCACAGACCGGCTTTGTTCGGATTTATGGAATACAAAAAGTCTGGGATAAAACCAGGCTATTTTAAGTGTTCTCCCGTACCGAGAAGCCACAGCTTCCTTTGATTTAACCTGCGCGTTTAACCTCGGGGCTGCCCTCCCAAAAAGTTTTCCAAAAAATCGGTTCCTGGGCTGGTTTCTGCGATTTTTGTCGGGATGAGATGAAGAGTGTGGAAGTGTCCGGGCTTTGCCGGGCTGGGCTGGGGGGGAGGAAGGTGACTCCTCAAAACGAGAACAAATGTAGCTGCTCCGGTGTATTTCCGTTCAAATAATAAAAGAAGAGAAAATGATGGTCATTTATTTGTTTGAACACATGGAGTAGTTTTAGGCCCCGAACATCTGCAGCTGTTAGAAAGTATTGCTGTAACAGATACTCCCCCTCAATCTCTGTGCTCGTAGGCCACCATCTGCACCCAACTATGCTCACAACCCTTGTGGGGTTTCCCCTGCAGCTTGTCACAGGGCAAGGAGAGAAACAGAGCGGGCACCTCCAACCCGCAAAGTCATGATAAACAGCTTTTGTCACCGAAAAAAAAAAAAAGGGGGTAAAAAGACCCTTCGTTTTCGCGTTTTCCCGCTCCCCCGTTTTTCTACCGCCCAGCAAATTTCCAAAAAAAAAGAAAAGGGCAAGAAAACAAAGTTGCAGGGCTTCAACTTGGCTATGAAAAATGTGAAAGGGAGGCGCTTCCTTCTGCGGGCTCCACAAAGAGCGCGGCGGCGGCGCGGAATCCGCGCTCCCGTGATGCCAAATGGCCGGCTGCATAATAACTTTGGGGAGATTTACATAGATTAAACCCATTCGCCTTATAAAATCGTTCCGGAAAACGCGTCGTAATAATATTTTTTTGGCTGGCGTCTGGGCTAATTTGTAAATCGCGGAATGTGCGTTTCCACGGGGAGGCTGAGGGCGAACGTGGCTGTTGGGCAGATTTCACTTGGCTGAAGTAAATGACAGGGCGGGGGAAATTCACGTTTATATTTGTCTCTTCAAGCGAGACCTCAAAAAAGAAATATATTTTTTATATATTTTTTTTTTTTCTTTGGCGGTGGGGAAAGGATTGCTTGGTGGATGTGGCTTCTGAGATGCGGCGCAGAGCTCTGTCTTTAACCAAGAATGTTTTAAGACGCGCTCTCCCTCCTCTCTTCCCTCCCTCCCTCCCCTCTCTTCTCCAAGAAAGCAGAACTTTATTCTGGAAATTTATTTCAACGATTCCACTTCCACTATTTAAAAGTATGCCCTTGCCCAACGCGCTGCCTTTTCTGTGGAGGCAAATTAGATTATCATGATAATGAGACATTTATTCCCCTTCTGCGCTACACTCCACTGCACAGAGGAGCAGAGAAATCCTAAACTTCTTTGTAGGGAAGCTTTTATGACAGTAATTACCCCCCTCCCAAAAAAAAAAAAAAAAAGAAAAAGAAAAAGAAAGTGAGTCATTCAACTCTCTGGTGTTTAGTTTTTCTTGAAGATGAAGCTAATTAATTTATTTATTAAGGAGCACGAGCTTCTCCGGCCTGATGGTGCAAACATCCAAACCCATTATCGCCCGTTGGTATTAGATATCAGGGGGCGATTTATGCCTTATGGGACCCTGATGTGGAAAGGCGAAACCGGGGCTCAGAAAGTAATTTCTCTGCAACGAGCGCCTATTTTCTTTATATTTTGACTCTTTTAATTTTTTTTTTCCTTCTTTTTTTTTTTTTTTTTTTCCCTTCTCCCGTGGCGTTTCGGAGCTCATGAGCGGGGGCTGCCCGGGAGGAGGGAGCCCAGCCCAGCAGCCGGGTTTCTTTGTCTGCCGGCTTATTTTTATTATTCTCCTTGGGTTTATGGTTGGTTTGGGTTGATTTTTTTTTTTTTTTTTTTTTCTTTTTACAATAAACATTATGCAATATGGTAGACCAGGGAATGATTTATTGATAATTTGTCACTTGTATTTATGGAAGTGTAGACCCTGGAGCCCTAGAGCTGGTAAATCATATTATGCAGCTACAAATGTGTTTTTTTGGTGTTTTTTTTTTTTTTTTTTTTTTTTGCGCTTCGTGCTGTCCCCACGGCGGTGGCAGCGCGAATGTGACACCCGTGTCCCTTCCCCCTTCTTCTCCCCCCTCCCTTGCCCCCCACAGGTCTGGTTCCAAAACCGAAGAGCCAAATGCCGAAAGCAAGAAAACCAACTCCATAAAGGTACCAGGGACATGGAAAGGGGGGGGGATTGGGAGTGTGTGTGATGCGGGTGGGTCAGCCACGCGTGGGAGGAGGGTGTCACCCCCAGCCACGCTGACCCCCTGCCTCCCCGCAGGGGTGCTGATCGGCGCCGCCAGCCAGTTCGAAGCCTGCCGGGTGGCCCCCTACGTGAACGTGGGCGCGCTGCGGATGCCCTTCCAGCAGGCAAGTGGAGGACCCGCGGGTGGGTGGGTGCGTGGGGACACGGACACGCGTGACACACACATTCCCCCCCCCTCCCCTCCGCCGTGCCCTTCTTTTCCCCGCAGGTTCAGGCGCAGCTGCAGCTGGACAGCGCCGTGGCCCACGCGCACCACCACCTCCACCCGCACCTGGCCCACGCACCCTACATGATGTTCCCCGCACCCCCCTTCGGGCTACCGCTGGCCACCCTGGCCGAGTCCGCCTCCGCCGCCTCCGTGGTGGCCGCCGCCGCCGCCGCCAAGACCACCAGCAAGAACTCCAGCATCGCCGACCTCCGCCTGAAGGCCAAGAAACACGCCGCCGCCCTGGGGCTGTGACCGCGCTCCCGCCCTTTTATTTTTTTCTTTTTTTTAAAAAATAAAAAAGGGGGGAAGAAAAATAAAAGAGAAAAAAAAAATTAAAAAAAAAAAAAAAGAGAGACGAGGGAGAGGAGAAACTGACGGGAGATATATACTTATTTAAAGAATTAGAGGAACTAGACGCGCAGCTGGGAAGTTCACAGGTTTTGAAACTGACCTTTTTCTGCGAAGTTCACTTTAATACAAGAAATTTGATAAGAGAGGCGGGCCTCCTTTCACGTTGCATCAGATACTTGAGTTTAACAACCACGTCTGGAATGGCGACAAAAAGAAGAGAGAAAGACGACGACGAAGAGAAAAAAAAAAGAAAAAAGGAAAAAAAAAAAAAAAGACAATGATTTCTCTGCGAATTTCTAATGGGAAACTGTCCGGGATACTTCCTCCAGCAGCATTCCGGGTTGCATGTATTTGTATTTCATTGATGGAGTCCTTTGATTCACTTGCACTTCACCCTCATCTTTAGTAGAAAAAAAAAACAAAACCACAAAACAAAACAAACAAACGTGGCTGGGTTCTTTCTCTTTTAATCTTGGAGGGAAGCGGAAAGAGAGAGGGAGATCAAGCACCACCTTTTCCACTCTTAAATCTTTCTTGGTCGTTTGCTGTCCCGCTTCTGAAATAAAAGGGAGCGGAAAGCGTCAGGAAAGCGGAGTGTGCCTCCCTTGGCTGGGTCTCTCTTGTCCTGAGGGCAAAAACAAAAGAAAAAGGAAAAAAAAAAAAAAAAAAGAGTATTTAATTCCCAACCACCACTTTACACAACGGCAAACTCCAATAAGAGGTACTGGGTACATGTAAAATATGTTGATACACACGAACAAAGTTTATTTTGGCTATAACTTGTGAATTGATAGTTGACTGTCAAACATTTACATTTTATCTCATAAAGGTGTATCTATTCACGTAATCTTGTGATTTTTTTTTTTATTATTATTATTATTTGAAAGACGTATAGCTATTTAACCTGGGGTACCTTGCAGTCGGTGATTGTTATCCCAGTTTGCCATCAGACCCTCATGCTTATTGCCAAGAGAGAGGGAAAGCTCTTCTATGCGAACTTTGGTACGGACGGGCTTTGTATCTATTTGTTCTCCATGAAAACGAAATTATTTATATTGACCATATTTTTTCTAGTGTATTTTAAGTTATTTAAAAAAGGAAAAAAAAAAAAAAGGAGGGGGAAAAAAAAAAGATGCTGTTATTTCATTACATTTGTTGTCGGTACAATATATTTTGTTTCACTCAGGTTTGCTTCACCTTTTTTTTTTATATCCATTTTCGACGTCACGAATTTCAGTAAGTGCCAAGTAATGAATTTAAGACACTTTGCGACCGAGTAGACCGAGAAGGGTAACGTTTCCGCGGACGGTTTCACGTCACCCCTGGTACTGTTGATATCAAACCACGGGTGACATTTATTCTTTCTTCCCCGTTGCTCACGCCTCCTGTCGAGCTCGCACGTTTCTTTCCGCCCCGCAGGTATCGCGACAGGCCCCGACAGACCCCGACAGCCGCCAGGGAGCACCGCTCGCACCTCCGCCCAGCTTTTCTTACCGCTCCGTGTCGGTTTTTCCTCAGTTTCGGCTTCACAAAACTTGTCGCGGCGATTTGATTTGGCTTTCTGTTGAGGAAAAAAAAAAAGAAGAAAAAAAAAGAAAAAATAGACCGGTGGAAGTTCTATAGCAATTGTGTCTTTCTAAGTTCTGTCAAGTTCCCTCAGGTAATAAAAGCGAGGAAAGTGTAATGGCTCGGAATATTTTCCAAGGGAAGAATCAGGGGGTGTTTTGTGTAAAAGGGGCGCCCCCCCCCCGCCGCCACCGCCCGCCATGCCCGCTACCGGGGCCCCGCACGGCGCCCGCTGCTCCGCGCCCTGCCCGCCGGGACGCCGCCGTCCCTCCGAGGGCTCCGTGAGGAGAAGGCGCCCGCCCCGGGGGCCGGTGAGGCGGAGGCGGCCGTTGTGAGGGGGAAGACGCCCGCTGTGGGGGTCCCTGTGAGGGGACGCGCCCGCCATAGTGGTTCTTGTGAGGGGAAGGCGCCCGCGACGGGGGTCCCTGTGAGGGGAAGGCGCCTGCTGGGGGGGTTCTTACGAGGGAAAGGCGCCCGGAATAGGGGTTCTTATGAGGGGCTGACGTCCTCCACAGCGGTTTTTGTGAGGGACGGGCGCCCGCCATGGGGGTCCTTGTGAGGCGAAGGCGCCCGCCATGGAGGTCCCCGTGAGACGAAGGCGCCCGTCCCGGTGTTCCTGTGAGGGGCAGGCGCCCGCTATGGGGGGATCTCGTGAGGGACAGGCGCCCGCCACAGCGGTTCTTGTGAGGGGAAGGCGCCTGCCATGGGGCTCCCAGTGAGGGGCAGGCACCCGCCCTGGTGTTCCCTGTGAGGGGAAGGCGCCCGCTGTGAGGGTGCCTGTGAGGGGAAGGCGCCCGCTACGGGGTCTCTGTGAAGGGACGCGCCCGCCGCGGTGTCTCCCCGCTGCGCCCAGCCGCCGGAGGCCGGGCACCCCCTGCAGGCCCGTGGCCCGCCCCGGCGCGGCGGGAGGAAGAAGCCGGGGGCTGCCCGGGGGCCGCGGAGGCGGGTGAGGCGCAGCCCCCCGGGGCGCGCCT